CTGGACCGGATCACAGGTTACTGGACCGGATCACATGTTAATGGACCAGATCACAGGTTACTGGACCAGATCACAGGTTACTGGACCGGACTACCGCAGACTGGAACGGATCACAGCGCTCTAGAATGGACTGCAGTGGCCTGGACCGGACCGCAGCAGACCAGACCAGAACCAGTCTCTTCAGAAAGAACCTGAGGCTTTGTTTCTAAAAGCAGCCCAGCAGAGGTCAAAGGTCACTAATGGAGGCTCTGATCGGGTCCAGGGTTCAGTGGTTTTGCTCAACATGTTTACAGAGAGCTGATAGCACGACGCCACGCATCCTTATATGGGAAACAGTGGAGTTCAGCTAACCAGGGATTGAGACACGCTTGTGCAAAGGTTTCTATGGCGACATGAGGAAGTGGTGTTGCTACAGCTCCCCACCAGCTACAACTACAGGCTGCTACCCAGGGCTGAAGGTCCTGCAGGACAGAGAAGTTTAGTGTTAAATGTAACATAAATCAGATCCTCTGCGATTTGAAGAAAGATTTTTTTCAAATTATTTTGCAAACGTAATGAATTTCCAGCTCTAATAAAAATACACCGTTAGAGCAGATCTACCCACCAGCCCCCTTTCCCCCCTCAGGTCGTCTTTCAGCCTGGATTGATGGAGAGCTGCCCCTCCTCCACCTGTTTCTGCCTCTACCAGCTTGAAGAGCTACTGAACCTGCTGTATAACCTGGTATATAACCTGCTGTATAACCTGGTATATAACCTGCTGTATAACCTGGTATATAACCTGCTGTATAACCTGGTATATAACCTGCTGTATAACCTGGTATATAACCTGCTGTATAACCTGGTATATAACCTGCTGTATAACCTGGTATATAACCTGCTGTATAACCTGGTATATAACCTGCTGTATAACCTGGTATATAACCTGCTGTATAACCTGGTATATAACCTGCTGTATAACCTGGTATATAACCTGCTGTATAACCTGGTATATAACCTGCTGTATAACCTGGTATATAACCTGCTGTATAACCTGGTATATAACCTGCTGTATAACCTGGTATATAACCTGCTGTATAACCTGGTATATAACCTGCTGTATAACCTGGTATATAACCTGCTGTATAACCTGGTATATAACCTGCTGTATAACCTGGTATATAACCTGCTGTATAACCTGGTATATAACCTGCTGTATAACCTGGTATATAACCTGCTGTATAACCTGGTATATAACCTGCTGTATAACCTGGTATATAACCTGCTGTATAACCGGGTATATATTCCATAATCAAACTGCATGCATGTAAAGAGGATCAGATAATAATAATAAAGTTATAAAGGTCATTTTTCTGCAGCAGCTCCAGGATCTGCCTGCTGACCTCAGCAGGAGAAGGTCAGGAGGTCTATTTCTGGAGCCCTGGGGTCTCCTGCTGCATTCCAGCTCCATGCATCCAGTCACTGCGCTCCGAACTCCGCTCACATTCTGCCCCTTTCTACCCTCACCTGCTCCCCGTTCAGCTCACAGCGCAGCTGCGGCCCGTTTTTAACGCTCCCCGGAAATGTTTGTCATTTCTGGGTGATTCGGGTCTGAGGCAGCGGCCCGCTGGAGCCATTTGATCAAAATATGACCGAAAACAGAGGAAGCTGCAGATCCGCAGCTCTGCTCAGCAGAACCGGTGCAAAGTTCGGACATGTTGGGTCCAGGTGGCCCACCTCAGCCTGCGGGGTCTTCCCGCATAGAGGACACCGAGCTCTGCGTGAACAGCCTCACCTTTCAGTCAAGGTTAGAGGCGGGGCCTAATGCGGACTAGCAGCCGTTAGCCTGCAGGAGCAGAGGAGATTCAACAGGAGGAAACTTCTCCTCCTCTCCTCCTGCTCTCCTCCTGCTCTCCTCCTGCTCTCCTCCTCAGCATCATGCCCATCAGTGAATACCTGTCAGATGTGTCGAGGATCGGCACAGCCACGGGAGAACAGCCTGCAGAGTGAGCGACCCACCGTGGAAGAGCAGCAGCTGGACAGAGGGGGCGGGGCCTGGGGGGCGGGGTTACCGTAATGCATGGAAGAGGACGGCCTGCTTCTGTTCCTACAGGCTGCAGGGGCTGATAGGAGCGACCAGAGGTGTCCAAAGTATGAGCAAAATTTAAAATCCTACAGTTTAATAAAACTTTTATAGAGGTTAGAAGATCAACTTCAACTTTTTACTCCAGTAAAATTGTAAAAGTAACATTTTAAAAACTACTAAAAGTATAAAAGTCAAAGTAATGCAGGAAAAACTGTTAAGAGCAGAAGCTTTACTGCTCTACTCTATTAAAGGAACATTTTTCTACAATTCTGGATGAAAACTTCCTTAGACTTAATTTTCTTAGTTTTATAACTAATAGTAACAGAGTCACATTTAACTTTGCATCATCTTGAAAAACTATTTTTTTTGGTATGTGGTGAGCAACAAGTTGGGTCAGCACCGAGTCCAACCACAAAATATTAATTGTCTGGATGAAACTAATTAGTTTTCTAAATACCAACAGGCCATAATGAAAATAAGGTTAAATCTGAAAGCTGTACAAAAGTAAATAAGTCTAAGTCTAAATGAAACAAAACTAACAAGTCTTTTTTTTAAATGT